GTCTCCTGTAGTTATTTTTCTGGATTTCAGACCTGAATTCCAATCCCTATGTCTAATTTGGCAGATAGTATTTTCCACATGTTGACATATGTTTGTCTTAATGAGATGGTCATCGTGCATCTTAGGTCTGCTCTCTTCAACAATTAGGAAATGTTGGTTGAGGAGCTCCTGCTTGGCAGTTTCTGTCTCTTTAGCTCTCAGACTGTTCCTTTCATTGGGAAACTCATGATAATTGCATGTGCTGTTGCTGTACTTCCTAAAAAGCTGGTTTTGGCTCACTGTTAGAAACAAGGGCTTCATATAAACCTAATACTTGGATATGCCCAGCTTCTGCCTACATCAGATGTAATTCTCAATACCTCAGTTCTTTTTCTTGGATACTTGAATGAGTTGCACAGGGACCCCAAACACTCTTTTTTAGCTAGACTCTATGATAGGTAACTACTGTTCAGGTTATGTTCTGTGGTGTTCTAGCCTTCAGCATTTACTCAATGTGTATTCTTGAAAACTCATTAATCAAAGTATTGTCTCATCAGTGTAAAAGGTATTTCTCCATTTATGAGGGAAGATTTTCCATGCTTTCCTTGTTTAGAGACTTCTGCAAGTAGTTGATCAGCGTGTGGAACCAAATGAAGATCCATCATGCTTACCTGAACTTTACGGCCCTGTGATATTTTGCCTCTGAAATCAAATGAAACTGTAATACCACCTTTTGCTATCACCACATTGTATATTCCCTTAATGCTTCAGGATCTTCTTAAAAAGGTCTGCAGGTTTTTACAGGTATTTTTCTGAGAGAAGCAGAGATTAATTAAAAAATGTATTTATTTTCATAAGTCTTGCTGTTCTGAGGAGTAGAATTCTGATTTTGGCATAGCATCTTTCCTTCTGGGCTCAGCAGTGCAGTAGTTCAATCAACACTGCAAAAACCTGCCTTCCATGTTTGGTGAGAGTCTTTTGGCATCTTTTGGTAGGCTTTTGAGATGGCAAACAAGAAGTCCTCGGTAATAGGCTGACTACAGCAGAACCAATTTTCCACTTTACCTTAGGTAGTGGTTATGGTGAAAGACAGGAAGCAAGGGATCTTCATGTAAGAAACTTAGTAATATTTCCGTTTTTCACATTAATACATGAGCATGCCCTTTACAGTCGCAGTTAATCAAGCCCTCTTATTTTTTATTTGTGAAAAATTCCTAACATTAGTAGATGGGCTATCTCCAAGTGTTGTTGGCAAATTTGTTTTTATAAGTAACTGAATGACGGTTTGTATACAGGAAGAAACTTTTAAGTAGTACTTGAGGCAGCTGACAGTCCTGAGTTCCCGGGTTCCACTTATCTAATAGAAGGTAGTTCACAAAGGAAGATTCTTCTTTCTGGGCTGAGTTTTGTTCAATCTAGAATGGACTGAGATCATCATCATTAGGGGCTTTTTTATCTAGCTTATAGCTTCTTGAGAAAATACATGATAAGAAAGAGCAATAACTCACAGGAAGAAGTGTTTGTAATGGTGTAATGACTTCACTATTTAAAAAATAATGTATTCCTAGTTCAAAACATTTCCAGTACTGTGTTCTTCCCTTCTGGTCTATGAAAGCACACAGGCAAAATGTGCTACCGTGTTAGTTATAGGGTTAAACAAAAATTATCTTTCCCTTTCTAGGTGATTGGCTAGTTCTAGAAGTATCAATAGCAGTTGAAAGAAGTATTTCATTGCCTTCTCAGACTGTTAACTCATCTTTTCCAAGAGTTAACTGAAGAAATCCACCTTAATTGCAATTTAAAGAATGAAATTAGACGATGAAGACCTTTGCGAGTCTAGTTGAAGGTACAGTTGTGAAGAAGTTTGCCAGGATAGCTGAAATTTAATTGAACATAAATGCCTCCGTGCCTATTTCATGCACTTTCTTAAAACTTCATGGCAGATTACACATCACATGAATGCAGGATAGACTAAATTGATACATCTGTTTAATATGTATCACTTGGACATCCTACCACTTCTTTCCTGAAGTGGAAGAAAAAGCCCAGAAAGGTGCATCAGTCACACATCCTTTTTCTTTCAGGCTTTCAGACAGACGTATTGGGAGTGTGTTTTGCATACAAATCTGCTACAGGATCATAGTAGGAGTAGCAAAAATTTTTGTTGTGATTGAGCTCTTGGCACTCCTGCAGTGTCAAATGGGTTTTTCATTTTTTTTATGCTGCCACCAGTGAGTATAAAGGCAGAGTTAGCTCCTCCATCCCAGTTCAATTCTGTCTCTGTCTTGGAATTTCAAGCATATGGGACTCGTCAAGAGAGGGAGGGAGGGTTACAGTGGTATTTGGGTAGGTAATACATCTGGAAGAATCCAGTCACTTTACAGGTAAGTAATTTTTTTTTTTTTTTCTTTCTGAATAGCCATCTGTATAAGCTTCATGAAAGGAGACTGCCACTGTTTATCATTCTGCAATTTTATCAAAATACAGGAAGATAATATTGCCCTCAGTGTCATATTCTAATGTATGTGAAGCAACTCAAGTTGTACTCTAGTCCATTGCTTCAGCGGATCAGTCACCACAGGAAAAAAAGTTGTAACTGTAGTTATAATTAACAGAAGTTTTTCTCCTGAGTTTAGTGCTTATCACAATGAAGATAAAATACTTCATGTAGCAGAATAGAGGAAAGGAGCAGCAGCACGGTTTGAAGGTTAACACAAGCCTAGAGTTTAGAGACAAATAGTTGGAAAAACATGCTGGTGTGTTAAAAGGCAAATGTTGGTTTATTTTGTTTACTTTTTCCCTTTTAGTATGTTTTCCTTGAAAGAGCAGCTTGTATTTTAAAAAATAATAATTCAAATGCTAGTCAATTAATCATGAGTCGAAGAGCTAGAAACAAAATATTTATTTTACAGTGTCTTGAGACTCTTCTGCACTAGTAGAGGTGCAGTCTAGCTAAGCAACAATCTGCTGGTCCTACCAGGTATCGGTGTGGTTTTGTAAGGTCGTGGCACACATTTGTGGCACTGTTACAAGAGCAAACTTGCACATCATTTAACTAGGTTTGTATGAGACAGAAAGTGAAAACCTGTAACTAATTTCTCCTTACTGGCTGGGTTATTATTAGGGTAAAGTTAAAAGATAATAATTTCTAGGCAGTTGTAAGTCAACTGGTTCTAAGTCAACACTGGATTGTTTTAACTTTCAACCTTCTGGCATTTATGTAAAAGATGGAGTGTCATTTTAGGGAGAGTAATTATATATGAATGCAAACCTTTCAAGTGCACGTAATGTGACAGTGATTTGATCAGATTTGTTACCAGATTGTTCTTCCTCTTGTGCCTCAAGAGTTCACCTGCCTGAAGAGAGCACTCATGTCTAAGTGAATTGAGTGTTGAATTCACCTCTTAGATGTTTGCCTGGGGTGAAGAGCGGACGTACCTTATGTGTTAGAACCTTTTATTCTGCATTCTTATTTCAGTGCAGTTTTCCTTTTACATACAGCTGTTCAAATGAACCATTCCCACTTCTGTTGTTAGCAATTGAGAGCTACACTTCCACACTTCCTTGGCTATCCATTAATAGTATATAAAAAAGGACAGTCAATATTTATTGTGTAATGCAAATAGGCAAGGAAATATTTTTCATGTCTGGCACAGTTAATATTCTGTGCTCAGTTTTTTGTAAACTTGTTATTAATCTTTTTGATGAGTCTTTGGTTAGGCTACTCATAACCATAAAGTACTTTGGGAAGATATTACTGATGTTTCACAAATATTCAAAAAGTATGAAAACAAGTTCTGCATCTCCCATTTTTGAAATGAAGATCTATCTCTGCATTCATTTCTTTAGACCTCACCAATTACTTTTCCTGTGAATTGGAAAGTAACCATCGGCAGAAAGTTCCTGTTTGCAGAGCCTAACAAATACTGTTACCTGTGCTAGTAGTTGAATGCCAGCTTTTCTCTGCACAAGGGCAGTGGTGCCAGAGGTCTTGTACTGGTCCAGTGCAAAGCTTTGCATCTCTGTTGGAACACTCTTCATTGAAAGTGGCAGTTTTGAGACTGCTGGAAATGGTGTTCACACAACAAGCATAATTGGTGATGTATCCCAAGTCCTAGAAAGGAGGAATTAAAGAATAAGTCAGGTTCATTCTTTACATTCTAGTGACTAATTTTTGAATTATGAAGGCTGCAGGGTCAAGTGTCTTCCAAGTTGCTCATCTTTTTCCTTAACCTTTATATGGTGTGAAACAGTGAAGAGAGAGAAACAGTGAAAAAAATCAGTCCTAAATACAATAGAACAGAAGGCAAAGGCATAAAGGAGCAATACATATTTTTTTCAGTGGTCTTTGAATATATGTGGGACATCTGAACTTGCAACAGTGAAGATGCTCTTAAAGAATTTTTTAAATGGAGTTTTGATCTCTGAGAATGATCTTTGAATATCTGAGATTCAGATACCCCAAATGATCCCTTCAGAGTTCCTGGGGTCTTTTCTAATTAGAAGCTTCCTTGAAGACTTAATTTGAGCAATGGAAAACTCTGTTGGGTTAATGTTTGCTTTTCTCCCCTTAACCTGGACTTGGCACATTCCAAACTGCAGCACTGTGTTTCCCTTCTTACCACACCTGCTGGTGAATGTGTGAGCAAATAGGCAATGCTGAATGCCTGCTACCTTCCCAACAGTTTTGGCTTCTGTGCTTCTTTGAAACTGCTTACTAATCTTTACCAACAACCCTTGCTTATCTATGCTATATAATCTGACAGGACTGTGATATGTCCAACACAGAGGGCAAGCACGCTTGCTTTAAGGTCTTGCTTTGCTAGCTTTCACCTTCTCTTTACTGCAATCTTCTTCCTACTCTTGCATCCCTTCATCTTTCTTTCCTTTGTGTGAAGATAATGTGCCTGCAGTTGTGCCTTGGGAGGGAGAACCACAATTTGCTTAGCATAAAGCTTGCTTGATTTAAAGGCTGTAGTTCCAAATGAGTCATCTTCACCTAGTCTCCCATCATTTTCCAGGACAATCTACGTAAAAAGGATGATCGGATTGAAGAATTGGAAGAGGCACTCAGAGAAAGTGTTCAGATAACTGCAGAGCGGGAAATGGTGCTAGCACAAGAGGAGTCAGCCAGGATCGATGCTGAGAAACAGGTCTGCAATCTTATAAAGTCACTGGTAGTTCTCTGAGGAAAGTAATCAGACAGTAAAGTACAACATTCCCTACCTTACTGTGAAACACAGCTGGTTTTGTTTGATGATCCTGTGTCTCTGTTCCAACATTAGATAACAGAACTCATGAAGTCTACAAAGCCTTCATGATAAGTTGTATTTCATAGGTAAGAATTTCTTGATACTAAAAAGAGCTATAAGAGATCCTGAGCTTCAAAATATTTTAAATAGTAACTCTTCTGGTCTGTCTCTTGCTTGTCAACACTATCTTCCTAAGTGTAGTCAGGTTCCCTATATTGTTCATTGAATGTATTTAAAGATGATGGGTTTTATTAGCATGGTTGTGTTTATGGACAAAAGTCTCATTGCACTTGGAAAACTACTGGTTAAAGAGACAAATCCCTTATCTTGAGGCAAGCATACACCCAGAAAATGCACACTTGTGTGTTGAAGCCACAAGTGTAAATTTTTCGCATTCATTGGTTCTGTACCACTGATGAGATACTCTGAAGAATCACATGTGCCTGATTTCAAGTCACGTAAGTAATCATCAAGGGAACATGCCATAAGTAGTGAATGAAATTCCATGAGGTTTTGATAAAGCTTTTGAAGCACAAACTGAATCTGACATTCTTACTATGCTTTTGATGAGCCTCTTCCATGCTTTTCGTTGTTCCTTGCTTGACCATAATTAGCAAAAAAGAGAATTTGGTCAGTTGCATTGCAATGGCATAAACTTTTTCTCTTTAAATAAAAAAGTTCTGATTAACTGCACTTTAAAATGTGGTAAAAAGTACTAAAAAGTAGTTGATTTCCACGGTGAGGAGGTTAATTTCTTTCAAATGTTTTTAATTTCATATTCCTTTTAGTACTTAAAAAAAACCCAACCCTTTGTTTTATTATGCTTTATGGAGGTTCTTTGTAGAGTTGTGAAAGACACCCTTAGATAGCTTTAGAGTTTTAAAATGCAAGGCTTTACTTTCTTTAAGATATTAATTGTGAATCATTTGACTTTTTCAAGCAGTAATAAGTTGGGATCATTTTTAGACCACATATGTATGATATGTATTATTTTTAAATGTTAATGTTGTCCAAACTGATTACGATTTGCTTTTAACTGCATGCTTTTTCTTTCCTCTTTTCTGTTTATCTTGTTTTCTACCATTCTGCCACTTCACTGCCTGTCTGAAGCTGTTTAATGAATCAATGCATGAGGTCAACCATTTTGTCTTTAAGTGGTTCAAGGTATGAGGACATCTCATTTGTGTGTACCTCTGCCCCAATATTTAGTGTTGTTTTGTAGCCCTGTGTTGTGTAATCCTGCCCTCCATCATCTCATGTTGTATGGTTTCCTGCTATTTTACATACCTCAGGTGTGAATTACAGTGTGTGTCCATGAAGCTACTCAGGATTTTATTGTTCTCAGATAACTGCTGCTCTCTTTAATCCAGTGTTTGAAAATACTCTCACAATGTGTATTAATTGAAGCAGTGGATTAACTGTGTTAATACACAACCTGTGTATGGCAAGGTGTCTCCAGCTGACTAAAGCTTTCTGTTTATTTCAGGATCTTAGACCTGTTCTTTCTTTTATATATCACAAAAATGAAATCAGGCATTTCCTGCTGGAAACAGAGCACCCATTGAATAGGTCATAGTTTTATTAATGTTATTGTTCTGTCTAATAGAACCCTGCCATACAGAAAGCAGATGAGGGAGATTTACATAGATAGAAAGATTTGAAAGTTCTTCATGTTCTTCCTTTCCAACATATTCAGCCTGTTTTGTTGGTGTGCGTGCTGAATCCTGTATGTAAATATTACTGTAAATTCCTTACAGCTGTGGGTTTCTGTACACCTATGATTGATCCCACTAGTTCAGCCCTCTAGGTCAAAGGTCAGAAAGTGTATGGAGGCTTCTTTTTGAGTACTCTTTATAAGGCTGACAGTAAGATAAACACTTCTATCATAAAGTTCTTTCTGTTAGAGATGGCAAAACCAAATGTGGATCCAGGCACTTTTTCCTAATTAACCAAATCTGAGCTTACTTTAGTAAAGCTATTGTTACACTCCACTGGAAAAAAAAAAAAAAATAGAAAAAAAACTTAAAAAGAAATGCAAGTTTTTCCCTACTCAGAAATAGAGTGGTAGTTTTACTTTCCTGGGAGAAACTACTGGAGGTCATGTTTGACAAAAGTCCTTGTCTTGCTCACAAACTTTATTTCACTGCCCTGGTGCAATATCATCCCCTTTCCTTCACCTGGAGGCAGGAGGTTACCTTATGTATCAACATGCTCATAATCAGCATCATTCCCAGAACAATGCTGGAAATATGTTTCAGTCTTCCATAAAGTATCAGGCTCTTTATGTAGAACGAAGTGAAACAGAAGTTGAGGTTCTGTTATTCAGTGTCAATCAATAATAATGAGTGTCAGGACCTTTGCTCAAGAAGCACAAGGTTAGGCATACTTGCATTATGGGCCTTCATTATTAGAGGACATAGTTCACAAATGTGTACTGACCAAAGATGCCTAGGATGCTCTCTTTTCTCACTGTTGTCCCCTTTTTTCAGTGCACATCCCTTCAGTTTTCTCAACCTGGGTCTTTCTGGGGCCATGCTGCAAAATGAAGCAGTGACCTAATTCAGCATAAGAATTATCTTATTTTTTGAAGGATTTTTTTCATGTGAACCAATTCACTATCTGGTTCATGAATCCCCATGCGGTTACATCTGAGAAGGTATGGAACAGCGGGGGTAGGACTGACAAATGGAAGCAGGAATTGCTTAGTATTATTAATAATTATTAATAATATTTTTACCAGAAGCTGTTAATTGTGGCCTTTACAAAAGTCTGCTATTTCTGTGAGTGAGGTGGTGCATTGCCTGACCACAGTGTATGTTTCTCTACCTTACTTTATTTCCTTCAAATGTGAAAAGCAGTAGGTTTTAGAAATTTAAATAGTGGCTCTACTGATAGTAGTGTAGTTCTGCTCTCTCATTAATATCAACTCCAGCTTAAATGCACTCTTTGTGTCATATCAGCTAACATCTAACTCCTTACCCTAAAATGTCATGACAACTAAATGCAGGAAATACTGGCCATTACCTGTTCATTCCTTCCTTCCCTAAGTGGTTACTTAAACTGAAATTTTTGAGTTGACAGTCTGAGCTTGACACCTTCCATCAACTTTTTTGAAGTTACATTTCTCAGTGGGAAATTTTAAATGAGGTTAGGTATGTAGACCTATAAAAAGCTATATATATGTTCATACAGTGTATCTTTTTATCCTACAGGATAAAAAGCAAGTTTCTCTGCTTTGCCTGTTGAGAAAAAAACAAAAGATTGAATATTGTAATAGAAATGTATTGTTTAAATATATTTTATTATGCTAATTCCTTTCTCCCAGTATCTTTATGAGTTACTTCAGCAGCATTTAATATTCTTTCTGGTACATATTACGTGTAAAATATATTGATAACAAGACTCCTGAAATTCCCTATCACATGTGACTACTTCAAAATTCACATCTGTTTGTTAAGGAAAAATAAATATGAAATATATTAATAACTCAACTAGAACCTCCTTCACAATCCTCTCCTTTTCCCCATCTCCTCTTCACTGGGATTTCCTTATTTTAGGTACAAGATCTGCAGATGTTTGAATGTAGAGTACAGCCTCCAAGAGCCTTTTCTCTTTTACTCATAAGTTACTTTACAGAAATTCTAGCCAAGTTTTGAATGATACCTCTTATTTGCTCTGCCATCAGACCACCATTCTGGTCCCATTTTAACTTTCTAGCTTATATTCCTTAGACTACATTTTATTGTAAGAATAGAAACTACATTTACAAAAGAATTGTTATATATTGGGCCCTATCTCACCAAGTACCTTCTAAAAATGCACAATAAATTAAAACACATTCTATTTCCTGAGCATTCTGTTACTGAACTAGATCTAAAATGTATTCTAAGCTATGAATGCTGGAATGCTGAATGTTGGTATTAGTTAACAGCACAAATTCTGACACGTCAAGTTACTTCATACAAGTTCATGTAAATGGAAAATATAAAATATAATTTCTACAGGAATTACCTATATATTTCTGAGCACCGTAGAAATGTCAGAATTCTGACAGCTCTGTAACAAATGCTGAACAGTTTGCTTTTAATGAGTGGTTTTGTCTCTTCTCTATCTCCTAATAAGAAGTTTGATAAACAAGTGATTGGAGATCAAGGCAGTGATCCAAGATATGGTTTGGAGGTGTAGGTTCTGCAGCCTCATTGCTTGCCACTGATTTTTCCACACTGTTTACGTTATCACTGGCTAAACTTCTCTCTAATATTTTTTGCAAAATTCCTTTCTATAAACGTCTGCCAAATTAATTTTGGTTTTTGGAGTGTGTGTATATGCATGCATGTACAACGCCATTTGCGTATTGAATTCATATTAATTAAAAAATCTGTGCTAAAACCTAATATTTTAATTTATTTTACTATGATCTATTGTTTTAAAAACTTTTAACACAGCTGTCAGCCTGAAGGATAGTTTTGCCATTGTTTTTCAAGATATTTTTTTTTCATCCTTTTGTCTGATTCTTTTTCTTTGGTTAGCGAAAGCATTTTGGCAAGCTGAAGTTGACTGGGCACTGTGTCCTTGCCAATGGATATGCTTGCAGTCACTTTTAGAGGCACTACTTCTCCCTGAAGTTGCCTCTTCTCAGGTATTTAAATGGTTACGTAGCCTCTTCCTTTTAAAATACCTAGATTTTTATTGAGTCACACTCCTTAAATGGCAGGGGTGATTCAGTATGTAGTTCTGTCAGTATTCAGTAATGTACCTTTTAAGAGGTGTAACAGGATGGAATTCTTATTCTTTTCTGTCTTAGATGTTCAGCTGTGCTAACAAGGGAGTTGGGGATTGTTTTTTCTGTCTGCAGTAGACAGGAATTAATAGGGGAAAAAAGGATGAATAAAAAATCAAGC